GGGGGAGATGGGGGGCGGAGAGGGGGTATCGATCACGGCAGTGAGGCTGTAAGCAAAGTGGGGAGACTGCTGCGGCTGCCAACTCAAACCTGGCAGGCATGTCGAACAAAACATGCAGACCAAAAAACAGAAAAATAAAATAACACGGAAAGATAGGTATTTGGGAACGCAACTGCCTCGTCACTACATAAAGGCCCGGCCTACCCGGTCAGTGAAGTGACTCCGCACCGGCAAATCGATAGTCATGGTGAAAACGGAGGCGTCGCCGGCAAGGTCGCCTGTCCTGTCCGGGCCGGCCTGTGGTCGGTCATAAAGTGGCCGTTCCAGGTTCCAGCCCCGGCTCACCCCGGGCCCGGAGACAATGGGACCAGTTTAACGACCGACGCTTTTGCGCTCTGCGCGACCCGAGCATTAGGACCTCACTTCCCCAATTTCCGGTGAAAATAAAACTCGACTGGGAAAACCAATGTCAACATTGTTGTTCCGTTGGTTCCGCCTTGCGGGAGGAGAGGGGGGGGGGGTAGCACGGGGGCCCACTGCGCTGGGCCGAGGAAGTGGGAGTGTCTCGGGTATTGTTCGCTGTGTTGGGACGGTTTGCACGGCGGTATCAGATTATTGTGTCGAGTCTGCTGCACCGCCCGACACGCCACCGACATGGCACAGGGCCGACAAGGGCTTACGTTGAGGTGGCAGAGGAGTGGGGCGGGGAAAGGTGGGGGTGGGGGGGAGGTAGTTCTCGAAGCTCGACCGCCGCTGCATCGGCCACCGCAACAGTAGCAGCGGCGGAAGTAGCGGCAGCGGCCGCCAGAGGCGCCAGTGAACCCCCCCCTCCCACACTCCCCCCCAGCAGCTGTCCTCCTGTCCCCCCCGCGGCGCGCCCAGCAGCGCGGGCTCACGGCTAGAGAGAACGGCGGGGCGGAGCTGGCAGAGCGGGGCGCCACATCAGAGACCTCCTCCTTTCTCTGCGGCCCTGGCCGCGGGGGGGCGCGTGGGCGCCTGTGTTGGGTACCCGCACCCCGGGGAGGGGGAGAAAAGTGAGAGGGAGGCGACGGCCCCGACCACCACCACGTCGTTGTCGTCGTCGTCGTCGTGGGCGCGCCCGGCGGCGGTGGGAAGCGCGCCTCGCGCGTCTCTCGCGGCTCCCGCGGCCACCTCCTCGCCGGGCTAGCTTCCTGAACGCGAGGGGGCAGAGCCGTGCCCCCCCGGGGTGCCCACCAGGGCCCCCGCCGACACGCACTCACACACGCGCGCGGCACGGCGGAAGGGACTTGCGCGCTTTCTTCCGGGGGGGACCGTCTTCAATTACCGTATCGATCTTGACGCCCCCCCCC